AAATAACAAGATGTAATTTTTCTTTAAGCACTGGAAGTTACAATTATCAATCACATATCACATGTGATTCAACTCAGAAGAGAAAGTTCCTTTCATTAACTTATCTTTACATTAAAAGTAAATAAATAAACATAAACGTAACTCTTAAAGCCATCAAGATAGATCACCGTCTTACGAAATATAATAACACTATAAAGCCAATAGTTATAATTCAAATAATGATGTCCACCTTTCACTGCTGCATCAATCTGAAAAAGCAATTTAATTATGTATCATTATCAGATTAATTGGTCAGAGAATGATTATCAATTATTTGGCTCATTGTTCCTTTATGCTTTCTGACTCTGTTTCGGATAAAACTAAGAAGAAAATATACTATAACAATTTTTACAACTAATTTAATCATCATTAATTTCTATCAATCTAACGGTTATAATTTATTGATAATTATTGGATGACATTTATTAATTAATTAATTATTCTCAATAAATTATAACTGTTAGATTGACGAAAATCAACAATAATTAAATTGAATGTAAAGATGATAATTTTTTTTGATAATAAATATATCATGCCCTAAAGATATTAACCAACTTCAGAATAAGGAGAACACTTCAATTTCTGAGGATTAATAAATTTTGGTTGAAGTTTTGATAAGGTCTTCTTTTTTTATTATTAATATGAATGTAAAAGATTACGTTCGATGTTGAATATTTCCTTCACAAATGTCTGAAACTACCAATTCACAGATTTCGTATTAATAAAGTCATATTACTGTATGTATTTGCCTGCACCTAGTTCGGCTCCACCATGGTCCATGGCCATATTTTAGGTGTGTGTCTCCCTCAACAATGAGTTTGCCATCTGGGAGAACCATTATTCATCGAGTGAGACAAATTTTACATGTGAAGTGTTTCTCTCTTAAACTTCAATCAGTATTTAAACAGAGAACAATGAATTATGATGTCAGGTGCATTAGTGGCAGAGTGCATTCACTCACTTAAAATTCCCACTAGATGCAATGGAATGCTTGAAGTCCATTCAAATACAGTGCTGTTCGAATCATTAATTTTTTTATTATATTTAAAAATAAAATTTATATTCGACGTTTATTGTTAAAAAATATGTTTCCAATAGATTTATAAATTAATATTTTATATATATATATATATATATATATATACAAAAAAATATTTCTGCAGATAAGTTATCTGCATTTATTCCTAAAACGACATCGTTTTTTAGATCAAAAGATTAAAAAATTATAACTATAAAGACTATAATAACTCTGAAATAAATTAAAATTACAAAATCATCATGATTTTCGTCCCAAAATGACGTCGTTTTGAGAATAAATGCAGATAACTTATTTGCAGTAACTGCAGAAAAAGCGAACTATATATATATATATATATATATATATATATATATATATATATATATATATAGTTTACATTTCTGCAACTGATGTACGTACAACAATCAAATACTTGAGCATATATACTTGAAAACATTAAATGCAGGAAATCTTAACCATACAAAGGATGAAAACATTAAATGTGGAGAATCATAATCATACACATATCGTTATTGTACGTAAAGCGGCTGCAGAAATGATTTTACCTATATATATATATCATGTTGTAACCCTTTGATTTGTATGCAAAATTTTATTTTATTTTTTATTTTTAATAATTGTGGGACTCATCACTAATTGAGTCATAATAATATAAGAAAACAATTCTTATATAACATGAACAATCAAAGCCATATATATATATATGGTAAAATCATTTCTGCAGTCGTTTTACGTACATCAACGATAGGTGTATGGATACCATTTATTGGGAATTAATAAGTTTGATTTCCAATAAATAATAATCATTGATAGACGGAAATCAACACTTAGAATTTGTTATCAAATTTCAAAGTTTGATAATGGTGTCAAAGGTGCCTATATATGGGAAATACTACTCTCATTTTACATGAGATAGTTATCTCATTTTCTCTCACTTCGAAAATCGTGCCCCTTCTTTCTTTCTTTTTCTTTTTTTCTTTTAAATAGCGGGCCCTACTTGGATTCTCTCTGTAACATGAGAGAACTACTCTCATGTTATATGAGAGTAATATTCCCCCTATATATATAGGATTTTATGTTTGTTACGTTAACATAACTTTCCTACACACACAAATTTATGTGGATCCCATCTCTTGATTTTTCTCTCTCCTTTATTCTCTCTCCTCTCTCTTCTCAAATGTGTGGGTAGGTTTGTTATGTTACATCATGTAACATAACAAACATAAAGCCCATATATATATATATAGAGTTCGCTTTTTCTACAGTCAATGTAGATAACTTATCTACAGTGAGCCCAAAAGACGTCGTTTTGGACATAAATTAGGGTATTTTTGTAATTATAATTTATTTCAAGGTTATAATAGTCTTTTTCATTATAATTTTTTAATTTTTCAACCCAAAACGACATCGTTTTGAGAGCGAATGGAGATAACTTATCTACATTCACTTTAGAAATATTAAAGGCATATATATATATATATATATATATATATATAAGTGTTGATTAAATTTATTCTATTATCCTTATTTACAATAATATGATAAAATAAAAGTTACAAATTTTTTAATTCAATTTTTCTTATTTAACGTGATTTCTATTTAAAATTTTGTATTAAAAATTGTTTATGTATGACATAAAAGTTATGGTTTTTTGACTCTTTTGCCCCTCCTTAATTAATTAATAACTATTTTGTCCTTTATTAAATTTATCTACCAATCTGCCCCTCTTTAGTCGATTAAATGGTCAAAACAGGCAAAAATAGTTGACTCAAGATTTAATCGTTTAAATCTCCCTATTTAATCGATTAAATCTCCCAACATGCAACAAAGGTCAGATCTCCTCCATAAACAAAAGTAGATTTCATGCATATGAAGCAAATCAACATGCATAGATAACCAAACAAACAAAGAAACCAACAAATTCACCTCTTGATGAGCAGATCTTCTGCATAGTTCAGTCTGCCTCGCATGAACATACAAAACAATAACCCCCTCAATCCATCAATCGATGCAGAAGATCTGCTCATTAAGAGGTGAATTTGTTGGTTTCTTTGTTTGTTTGGTTATGTTGATTTACTTCATATACATGGAATCTACTTTTGTTTATGGATGAGATTTGACCTTTGTTGCTTGTTGGGAGATTTAATCGATTAAATCTCGAGTCAATCATTTTTTACTGTTTTGACCATTTAATCGATTAAATATTCAAGTTAATCGATTAAAGAGGAGGAGATTGGTGGATAATTTTGAATGAGGGACAAAATAGTTATTAATTAATTAATGAAGGGTAAAAGAGTCAAAAATCCTAAAAGTTCTTTAATACAATTGTTACAATTGTTACATGTTAATAATTTAAATTTAAATTCTTTATTGTATTATTATTTTGTTTTTCTTTTTGACTTTTTATTGCTTTAATCTGTATTTTTATTGACTCTATCTCTTTTAACATTTTAAATTTTTACTTTTTAAAATAATAATTCAAGTGTATTTATTTGTATTAGTTCTGAAAAATACATACTTTATTATAAAAATATAAAAAATATCCTAAAAAATTTATTTAGTTAATTATTTATAATTTTAATCTTATGAGTATTAATAATCATAATATTTGAATAAGCCCCAGCATCACAACTTTATTTATAGAATCATAAACTGAATTCATTGAAAAGACACATTTCAAATCCTGCAATATTATTTATCCATTTCTCATACCCTTTCTTTTTCCTTTACGTGGGTTGTGTGTAAGCTTCCTTAATGCTCACCTTTTGTCTTAAGTCCTCCCTTGAAACTAAAAAAAAAAATCGAAAAATAGTTTTTACTTTTTTCCCAAATCCAAAAATAGCAACATTTTGAGATTGTATAAGATAATTTTATTTTATGTGAAGAAACATTTTTCCCATTTTTATATGTTAAAAAAATTAATTAAATTTTCATAATAAATATAATGATATTTTTATTTAAATTATGAATATAAAATTTAAATAAATAAATAAATTATTATTACTAATAAATAAAATAAAATAAGATCACATAATTATTAAACTTTAAATATAAATCTCTTTATATTATATTTTTTTTAAAAATATGTTTAATGTTTTTAACTAAATATGATTCATAAATTTTTGAATTTTTTGTTTAAAAAATAAAATTAATTAATTTAAATATATATATCAAATAAAAAAATTCATAATCATGGATATTTTTATTTTAATAATCGTTTAATGTAGGAATAAGATAATTCTGACGTTCCCGAAAGTGGATCTCGGAGTCGGAAGTGAAACTCTATCAAATGAACAAGCAAAGGTTGATTAACGTAATATTAACTGTCATTCGACAAAAAACTGTCCAAACACTTTCCAACAACTGAACATATGTTTATTTGTTTCCTTTTCCTTTTAACTTTTTATCAGTCTCCGTCTTTCTGGTTTTCCAATGGGCCATGGCCTCTACATTGAAAACCCAACTTCTCTTTCTCTATATTTTTGGCAGTGCTAGAGCGAGAGAATCCAACCAAAATGTCCTTCAGACGAATCAGAACTCCGAAAAAGCACCCAGTTCGCATTTGGAACTTTTTGCTCTGAAGGAGTGGTTGGTTGTAATGTAATGCCAAGGACGACATAATCAGGAAAACACACCTTTCTTTAATTAGTTTTATTTTTTTTATTTATGAAAAACTACTCCCTCTTCTAATTATGATAGGCCACTAGCTTTCTAGAAGTGTTTTGCAAATGGAAAGCACAACAACTAAACCACAGTTCTAATTACTTTTCTCTCTCCTTTGAAAAACAAAAGAACAGATAACAAGTCATCAAACGCGTTTGTTGCTCATTGAGAAGAGTTTGTCGGTTCAAATAAATTAAATTATAGGGAACTGACAAAGAAAATTTTAATCCAAGGAAAACTCAACAACCTTAATATTGGGTGCTAACTTCACCGTTCGGAAACGCCTTATGGCACCTCTTACTACATACATGCTTTAATTGAACCAGTCTTAGTCCACGCCCGCCAGCGCCCATACTAATTTTCTCCTCTTTTTTCATTATTTTCTTCCTTTATCATTATTCCTCCAAACCCCACTCTTTCTGATCATAACAACCTATGCACACAAGACAGAAAGGTAAAGAATCAGAACTTAGTTTCTGGCATAAGAAGAAGAGATGAGCCAGTGGATACGTGTTGCGGTGGTGGCATCCGCCGCTGGATGTGTTTCAACCCTTTTGTTGGTTTTTATATGGCGTTGGTGTCATCACAAAAAGCGTAGAAATTTTGTTGAACCGGCTAGCCTGGCCAGAATGGGGAGCCTCCAACCAGGGATTTCGAGACTTCATAATCCCCAGCTTCCAATTCATCATGAATTGGATCAGGGGAGCAAGAACAAGGGGAATTATTATGTGTTTCGTGGTGGGGTCTCTGAAAAAAGAACTTTGTTCAACTGGGCTGATCATCCTTCTATGGCCGTTGATGCTGTTGAAAATGGGTGGTCTCGATTTGCTTTCACGGGCTCCAAGAGCTACATGCCATCTCCTTCAAAGAGATCTGCAATATTAGGAGTATGTGCAGCACCAGGAGGTGATTATATTGGAAGAGAATCAGAGGCTGAGATAAGCTGGGAAGTTTCACAGGGATCTGCTGAATTTATGCAGAAGGTAAGACTGAATCCTGGGTTGAAGAAATCTCATCAAAACAATCCTTCTATGACTGTTGCTTCTGTCATTAGAACGGCTTTGCCACTGCCTGGTCCTCCTTTGGGAAACTATGCTTTCCCACAAGAAGCCTATTTTGAAATTACCATCTTGAATTCTCGGCGTGATGACTATGAATCGGTTGGAAAGAGTAGAGAAGGTGAGAAGACTAAGCTCCTCGTTCAAGGTAATTCAAATGCTAAAGGGAATTCCGAGGCTTTGGTTCATGTTACCAGCAGCAATAGTCATAAAATCAACAATGTTGAAGAAATGAAGCTTGCCAGAAGAGAGGGTGGAAAGAGAGAATCTGTGATGTTCTCATTGGGATTAACAACAGGAAGCTCTGTTCTTTTGAGAGTTCCAGGAAGCTACCCAGGGAGCATTGGATTTAACTCCAACGGTTCTGTTTATCTTGATGGTAACTAATAAATCACCTTCCCTTAACTTATTGCTTTCCAAGTTCTTTTATTTTTTTTTTACCATTAGTAAAGGTGTTAAGGTCATTCCATTCCTTTTGTTCAAGATTTGTAGACTGGTGGACATGGTCTTCAGGGGAAACTGATAAGAGCAGTACAGATTCACATTTACAACCTTTTCGTTTTGTGCTGCTGTGTTAGAAAGGGAACAAGGACAACCCAACTCAAGACACATTTCTAATCTCACCTAAAATATCAACACCATGAAAGGCCCACATGAATTGTTTCACAATCCACATGATAACCACATGGTCATACATTATAAATAGTAGTAGCAAATAACAACTATGTCCTTTTTTCCCCCTTTCTATAATTTTGTTTTGTCTTTTGGGATTCAAAAAATAGAATAGATGGGACACAAAAGACGCGTAATTGCATGCAAACATGGTTTACATTTCTGCTATATTATTTCTATTTATTTTGAGACATCTGAGTATGAAACTTGGTTACAGGAATGAAACTTGTATTCGAATCCGAGAAGGCGGAATGGGTAGGAACTGATAAGGTGATTGGTTGTGGGTTTGATCCTAGGCAGAAGAAGGTTTTCTTCACATTAGACTCAGAGTTGGTGCATGTCATCCACTGCCAATCAGAGGAATTTGGCACTCCACTCTATCCAACCTTAGCTGCGAATATAGACATTCTGGTATTAGTTAATTTTGGACAAAGTGCATTTAAATATGCACCTGCTAATGCTCAGAGAACACCAAATCCATGCTTTATTGCCCCACTTGTAAATTCCCCTGCTGCTACCCTGGGATATGATGACAGCAAGGAGCTATTCTCCATGGGAAGGATTGATTCTCAGTGGCGTAATCGCTCTACAACCAAAGGAAGCCACAACAACGGGCATAATAATAATAGAGATATGGATTTTGACGAGGAGTCTGAGGCTGATCTATTTGAAATCGTCTTAGATGGTTCTGGAAAATCTCCAAACACAGCATCGTAGTTTACAACGAAAGAGTGCACATTAGTATTTGTCTTGGCTCTGGCATTTAACATCATTGTTGCTTGTCCAAATGGAACATGGCTTTGCTGCACATAAATACATTGCTTTCATTTGGAAGAATGATTGCTGTATCTCATCATCTCAGTGGGATGATCTTCAGCATCCGTGAGGTGCTTAATGGTTTAGTGCTATACGAATATACAGAACACACACAGAAAGAGATTCATATACATGGAAGACTACTTTGTCTATAATCACTAATTGTGGAGGCTTTAACATTGACTAACCTGTCATATAGAGTTTGCCTTTTGTTTTCTACTCTCTTTCTCTTTTTCCTGGCGGCTAAGCATTTAATTTTTCCTTTTGGAAGAGAACATTGTCTCGCCCTCTGTAAATATTGTATTCTCATATAATAAAACTTTTACTTTCAGGTCTTTTCTCCAACTGTCTGCCAACATTCTGTCTGCTACTTCATGTTAATGGTTATTAAGTCCAGTTTGTATCAACTTTTGAAAATAAAAAATTATGTAATATTTTTCTAAGCAGAATTCTTTTTAAAGCTATCATGCATTTGGAATTTGAAAAGTGTAACAGAATACAATATTTGAAAAGTATTTTTAATAAAAAATATTATTATGCATAAAATTATTAACAATAACGTATAAAAGTGTTTTTATATTATTATTAGAGTAAATACCCTTTTTCGTCCCTGACAATTTTCACGAGGCACAACTTAGTTCCCAACAATAAAAAAGGCACAGTTTAGTCCCTATTTTTTGAAAAAAAGAGCCATGTTTGTCCTTCTGTTAGATGGGACGTGACAGCCCACTTGACGGAGGCCAGCTGGAACGCTAAGTGGCTGAGTCACTAACGTCACAGCCACGTGGACATAAGACGACGTCGTAGTGATACATGCGTTGTGTCTAGTTGAATTTTTGGACATGTGACCCTTGCATGAAAGGGTTAGTGACCCAATATGGTCCCTGTGAAATTAAGAACCCTAAATCAGCCTAAATCATGAACAAAAAAAAACCCCAAAAGCTCCCCACGATGAAGACTGAAAATTTTGGGGTCGTAGAAGGTATTTATTGGCTATTTTCTGGGGCGTAGAAGAATATGAGTATGTCATCTAGCATGGGGGGATCAAGTGGGAGTACGTCTTTTGGGTGTAGAACAACCTCACGGACCGGCAGTCGAAGGTGCAAATGTGGGAGGCAAACATTCATCTATACCTCTAAAGCAGAGAGAAACCCAAATAGGACATTCTTTGGGTGCCGTAATTTCAAGGTATACATTTGTAAATTGAAGTTAATTAACTTGTAATATGTGCTTACCGTGGTTTGCAATTTTGGCAGGATAAGAAGCCGTTTTGTAATTTATTTAGATGGGTAGATGACGTATGTAATGAAAGACTGGAGCTTGAAGATGGAAGAATCAACAAGGTGGAGTTGGATGTTGCTGAAATGGATTTCAAGTTGAAGTATGTGGACATGGTGATGAGTGAGAAATTGCAAGCTAAGTTGAATGACCAATGTGTGAAGATTAGTGAGCAAGAACTGAAGCTTAATAAGTAGGAAAGAAAGCTGAATGAGCTATATCTGAAGATGGTGGAGGAGTTAGATAGGATGGACAAAGAAATTAGGCATGTTGGTAGGGCAGCTAGGGTCTTAGTTGCTGCTTGTGTAGGGTTTTTGATGATTTGTATTTTGATTGCAACTGTTGTAACAATGAAATGTAGTGTACAAAATGTATTTTTTCTTCAATGAAATGTAATGACTTGTTCACAACTGTGATGATTAAAGTTCACAAGACGCTATTATTATATGGCAATGTAGTTCTGTATTTTGGTTGGAAAATGTGTTTTTGTGTATACTGCTAACTTCATTTAAGCTTACACTATATGTCAATAGCAATGGAACAAGGTTATGGAGTAATACAGCCCATCTGTTTGCATCATATGTTTTATTCCTGTTAAGATTCCACTGTCATAATGGGGCATAACCCATTTTATCTGCATAATGAGGGTGGACTGATATTATGTGCTGGAAAAAGTGAATTACAAATATATCCCAGACCAAAAGTAGTGAAATTTGTAGTCAAATTTGTGGATGAAAATGGGATTTTGAGAACTAGTTATTGATACCTAACCATAAAAACGAAATCCCAACTTGGTCCCTGACAATGTGTATCGGGGGCCAATTTGGTCCTTGACAAATGCTATCGGGGCCTTATTTGGTTCCTGACACTTAAAAAATGGACATGAACATATTGCAGCAATGGAATGAACATATTGCAGCAAAATGTATCCACATATGTAACTTCAAACCAGCAAAGACCAACCCCAAATATTTAAAAGCTGCATTGTAACTCATGACATAATTGGATCACAAACTTTTTCCAAAAACATATACAGAGACATATTGCAGCAAAAACACCCATATAGAGACATATTGCAGCAAAGGGAAAGAAATGAATTCACAAAGGAACTTGTAGTCATTTACAATTCAAAACCCTTCCTTCATAATGACTGGCTTGCCAGCTGAACTTGTAGTCCACATAAACAATTCTAAAACCATCCTTCAAACTATTTGCACAAATGTTTTTTTTGATTCACAATACACCCATACAGAGACATATTGTGATTAAAAAAAAAAACAAGTACTTCACCTAAAGGCCTTAAATACAAAAAAATATGGGGGTACAACAGAACTTGCATACAATTCAAAAAAATGGCCAAATATACCATTGTTGCCTATACAACAAACATTGAACCCCTATACAAACAAGACTGGACCTACAACTGATCCACTTCATTCAAGCTGGCCTTGGTGGCCTAAACCCAGGTGTGGTCATGAATGCCATTAGCCTGCTCCTTGTGCCACTGCTTGTTGCATTGACAATTTTAGTTGACAAATGTTCTGCTGGTGGTGGGGCAGTAGGTGCTGGGTTGTTGCCCCTAATGGATTCCTCAGCTTCCTGGGACTGTCTTGACATCACATAAGGTCCTCCTTGCAGCATTTAGCACACTTTGCAGCATATGTCCTTTTTAATTTTTTGGTGTTGCTGTCATGCTCCTCAGTTGGATCCTTCTTCCTATGTTTTTTGGGACGGCTAATTGGCCTTTTGAGTGGTGGAGGAATGGGTTTAGGCTCGGATGATGCAGGGCAATACTTATCAGAATTGACAGGGTTTAAGGTGTGTGCATAAGTGGCATGCAAAGCATCCACTGTCAGCCATTGATGGACATAAAGCTCTGCTGGTTCATTCTTGTGACATAATGCAGCGATTGCATGCTCACATGGCAATCCAGTGAGCTGCCACAGATTACATGCACAAGTCTTATAGGTTAAATTGACTCCCATCCTTTCACCCTTTCTAGTCACTTCGTATAGATCTTGCTCCAAATTCCCTGTCCATGTTGGGGTCCAGGAATTGCTTAAAATTCTTTGATGGGGCAATTTTACCCCTAACTATTCCAATAATTCTTTGATGGGCAGCCATCCTACTCATGATATAGCACCTAAGTTCTTCACATAGGCTGACAATGAGCTTCGACCTGTATCCTATAATTTTTGCATTCCACACCTCAGCCATGTTGTTGGTTATATTGTCACACTTGGGCCAGTGACTAAAATAGGCCTTCACCCAGCATGAGGGGTCAATCTTGTGAAGGTATGTCCAAGCATCTTCATTCAACTCCTTCAATTTCTGCATTGTTCTTTGAAATTGGGGCACAGTAGTGCATCGTGCAGCCTCCCATACTATTCCCCTAATGGCTTTGTCCTTCCATTGCTTAAAGAAATTCTTCCACACGTGCTGCACACAAAACCTGTGATGGGCACTAGGCATAACCTCCTGTAATGCTGGTATCAAACCCTGTATTCATATATGAAGCATCAACAAAAGTCATTACACATGGCTACCAATGTACAAGTTATATAAAACAAAAATAAATTTGAAATAAAGATACCTTTTGCTGATCAGAGATGAAGTTCCAGCCATGTATCACATGGCTGCCAATGTCCTCTTGTAACAAGTTCAAAAACTACTTCCAATTTTCTTTAGTTTCACTGTCAACCATTGCAAAAGCAATGACATAAAAGCTCTTGTTTGCATCTTCTCCCACTGCACTCAAGAGCTGCCCTCCATAGTAACCTTTCAAGAAACAACCATTCAGGCCAATCAATGGCCTACAACCAGCTTTGAATCCTTTCTTACAGGCATCAAGGCATATGTACAGTTTAGAAAAAATAGGTGGGCTATTAGGTAGTGGCTGTGGTATTACTTGCATTTGGCAAGTGGAGCCAGGATTGCTCCTCAAAAGCTCATCCAGGTAGTCCCTTAACTTGCCATATTGTTCCTTCTCTTTTCCTTCTATTCTTCCCTTGGCTTTGCGTAGTGCCTTCGTCACTTTCTTCAGATGCACATGGACCTTGTACTCTTCCTTTCAATGCTCATAAGCTTCGGCCCTAGTCATGTTGGGCTGTGTGACCAGCCTTTTCTCCAACTTTGCAGCAACCCAATCCCTACTGGCCCTTTTATTTTTGAAAATTCTGCAGCAGGAATGGTTATTGTTGAATGTCTTGACTTGGAAACTATTGAATTTGTTAGACCAGGCACAATATATCATCCACTCACAGTTTTCATTTGAGCATTTGGCCCTTGCTCTTAACTTGTCATTCTTAACCCATTTAAATTGCCTCCCAAGACTTATATTGTAGTCTTTGACACCATTTTTAAAGTGCTCCAAACTGACAAACTCCATTCCAAGCTCATGTTGTACATGACCAAAGGTATTCTCCTCATTAAACTTCGGAAACACTTCCCTCTCAACCTCCTCATCCCCACTTGAAGGAGGAGTCTTCAATTCTTCAGAATTGTAACCATAGCCCTGATCTTCAAAGGACATATTCTGCTCATCCTCTGAATCCTTTTCTTCCCTGTCACTCTTGTTAACTGTCTTTTTTTCCTTCTTTCCTTTCACCTTTTTTTCAATGCAATTATTGGCTCATCCTCTTCATCCAGTTCATCCTCTGTTTCGTCATCAACACCCGGTGGCGGAGGCTTATAAGGCTCATCTTCTACACTGTCATATGAATCACTTGACAGTCCATTGCCCTCTCCCTTTTCATATTCATCAGCAAAAGTCATATGGAAGTCATAAGAACTGCCAACTGAATCACCTAAGACCCCCTCCTCATCAGCACTTTGAGGAGGGGACCCTTCTACAGGACCAGCCAAAATGTCAGGAAGTGCAATGCAATCTTCAAAATATATAGATATTTTGTTCCCATTACTTAAGGCAGCCTTCACCATTTCCAAAACATCTGAATCCTTTTCAAGAAGACATAACCCAACCTCTAAATCACTCTCAGTAGGCTTGAGCCACCACATCTGTTTACATTTATCATAGCCAAACCCCGTGAACAGAGTATCAAGGTCACGAAGGTTGACATAGTCTGCATCCATCTTAGGTAAATCATCCACTCTCCCATTTACATAAGTCAGCTTTCCTTCCTCATTTCTAACCAACACACCCCCATGATGATATCTAATGACTATATATTCATCCATCTGCATAGAAAACAGAACATAATCATTTTTTACACTACCATAATATTATTTTACAGTATCATATAAGAAATCATGTATTATCAATATTACAATAATACTGTAATTGTCACAGATTTTTTAAATGGATCCATTGCTAAAAAAATTGGGTCAACTAATCACACTACACATAGCACTTTAAATAACGACAGGGGGACCACATACAACAAGTTCCAAAAATAAAATACCAAATGAGACCAGATAATAAAACCCTAACCATCTCTTTCCCTAAACCGCACATGGGGGGACCACATTAAACAAAAACACAATGACCAAAAAGGGTAGAGGGACCACAGATAATAAAGAAATGGTTTGTCCCACTACCTTGCAGGAATGACACCTCACTCACAATCGTTTTAACGATATTCACCAAAACCACACTACTTCCAAATGGTTGCAACTGTAGAAGAGACGTGCACCAACAAACCACCGTTCCTCACCAACCTTCACCGAAAACGAAGCTAACGAGCAGAGGAAATGGTGGGTATGGACGAGTGACTCGTTGTCTGAGTGTCAACTGAGTCAACACCTAGGTTGAAGAAGTCTCTTTCTCTCACACGACGTCGTCCGCTGCTACTTACATCTGATGGGCCTTCCAATATAACACGACGTCGTTCCTTCCACCTCCACGTGGCTGTGATGTTAGTGACTCAGCTACTTAACGTTCCAGCTGGCCTCCGTCAAGTGGGCTGTCACAATCCATCTAACAGAAGGACAAACGTGGCTCTTTTTTTCAAAAAAATAGGGACTAAACTGTGCCTTTTTTATTGTTAGGGACTAAATTGTGCCTCGTGAAAATTGTCAGGGACGATAAATGGTATTTACTCTTATTATTATTATTTGCATGGGCATTTCAACAAACAATCAGTATGATTAATTTTGTTTGATCTTATGCATTTGACTCACTGAGTTGGAAAAGAATTGCCTCTGGTCTCAGTACCTGCATATATGGCTAAACCACTCGACCTCAGTCTCCTTCTTCTGCTCTGCACCACTATAGAATCTTTTTCTTCGCCCTCTGATCACCATTATGATGTTGAAGATAACCCTTTTTTTTAGAAAAGAAAAGAAAAAGAACATTTGGGTAAACTTGAATTTGGAAAAATTGCATTACCCTCTCACTTCTATTTTTTCAAAGAAAAAAATCTTGACCTAAGAAAAAACATTTCAATATATTCCTTTGTTTTGTGAATTTAATATAGGGTTCGCTTTTTCTATATTAAATCAATGTAGATAACTTATCTACATTGAGTCCAAAACGACATCATTTTGAGATGAAAATCAAGATATTTTTGTAATTATAATTTATTTTAAGGCTATAATAGTCTTTTTTATTATAATTTTTTAATTTTTCAACCCAAAACGACGTCGTTTTAGGAGCAAATATATAATTTATCTACATTCACTTTAAAAATATTAAAGCCTTTAATATATTAGTTTTCAAGGCGTGCAATGCACAGAATTATTTAATAAATAGTATATATTTTATTATTATTATTATCATAAAAATATATTAAATTAAATAATTGTATTACTCATTAAAATTGCGTGACTTTCAGAATTGGTTATTCAATCGTTGAAATTTCTATTTATACGATTATTAGTTCACATTTTACTTTTCAACTTATTATGAAAACATTTTCAAGGGGAAAAATCCATTTATTTATTTAGAGTAAATACCTTTTTTGGTCCTCAACAAATTTCACGATGCCTGTTTAAGTTCCTAGCAAATAAAAAGGCTCATCGTGGTCCCTAAGAAATTCAAAATGGACCAATTTTAGTCCTTTTAGGGACTAATATGGGTCCTTTTTGAATTTGTGAGGGACCACGATTTTAACTAAATGGGTCTATTTTGAATTTCTTAGGGACCACGATGGGCTTTTTTATTTGCTAGAGATTAAAACGGGTATCGTAAAATTTGCTAAGGACCAAAAAGGGTATTTACTCATTTATTTATTAAGATTCGGCTATACACCAAACGATTGGAAACGAAATACGTAGTACAATAGGGAGAAATTTTTAGGAGTTTGCATCTATCATGTATCATGACCAAAAAATTTTCTTACACATACAATATTTTGTGGGGCCCGCACTTTTTGAAGAAAAAAAAACTAAGGCACGCAAAACGAATCTCTATAACATTACACAATCACTTTTCCTACAACATAACTCTTATAAAACCTAAATTTTTAAGGTAGCGTTTGGTAGATGATTTCTGATGGGATGGATGGGTAAGTGAGAGTGTGATATCATTAATGTCATGTTTAGTAGAGGGTTAAGAAAAATAAAACCAGGCAACCTTGTTATCCATGCAAACTCAAGTTGTATGTAAAATGTCAAAAACACTGTTTGCGAATACCACCTCAGAGGTGGTATTTGCATAAGACTAGGAAGTGAAAAAATTGGCGCGATATTGTAGACTGAAATGTCCCTCATCCAAATGTAATCTGAGACTCTGTTGGTATGAGAGACAGAGATATAGATGACGGAACACGGTGGAGGAAATATCTACTTCTATTGACATTCAAAAATTAAAAAGGGGTTAATTTGGTAATTTTAACACATTTACTCATCAATATTTTATCTTCAACCAAACATAGACGTGTAAAATTCTACCCAATTTCTTCGGTATAATTTTGGCCAACCAAACAACATTTTTTTTAATTTTTCTACCAAACTTCATTTCCCACCATGTCCCTCTTAATTACATTTTCTTAATAAAAAAAAAAAAAAATTCTCTACCAAATACCCCCAATCAAGCCAAAATAAATTTTATTAATCTCCCAATTCAAAACAGATTTCAACCATTGAAGTCGTCTATCAATTAAATGTAAAAGACTAAATCCACCATTATATTTGATGACCACTTAAGAAGAATTTCATCAAATTTGCTTTTGTAATGGGTGGTTGGCATTTGACAACTTATTAAGAAAAATAAAAAATCAGAATTAGTGTCCCGAAGATAAACATGAGAATCAGAATATAATTGCGTGTCAATCCTTCCTTAAAATGGTCAAAGGTCAGAGTAATTTTTATTTTTTTTTCTTCCTGAGAGGTCAGAATTAGTGCAAATGCCAAAAATAGAATTTCAATCGTCTAATGTAAATCATTTCCAAGTTCTAACGTACATCAAAGCTCACGTTTCCATAACACAGCAATGTTATTCTTCAGTTTTCATATCAGACTGGGACTTTCCTCAAGGATGTCAACAGCTGTAATTGCGGCACTTGCAAGATAAGGGGACAATGAAGCAGAAGAAAACATAGCCAGAACTACTCAATCGCTGCCAGGGTTGAAATAGAGAGAAGAGTGCACCAAAAATGGATTGCAAATAACTCATAATAATAATAAAGTAGTAAGGGAAACTCCAATTCCACGTCTCCATTATGCAACTTCTACAGTTTGGACTTGGATTAGATTCAGGAACCCCATAATATTCTGTCAGACCTGTAAATAATTTTTATATTTGAGGAATAAGAAAATGTTTTTAAAATTATTGATAATTTATACAATTAATTTACCTTTTAAACATGTTAATGGAATTATGTTTTACCTTTCTTTGTGAACAATCAGATACTCGAATCTTTATATAAATTTTATAAAATGAAAAAAAATAAAATAAAATTAATGACGTCATCATAAATTTAATTTATTTTTGAATAAATTTCAGATCAGATCCTTACACAAACTCATCTCAAAATGCGACAAGCTAGCTTCATATTTTTTTTAACATAATTATCGTTACATAATTTCAAAATGACAAATAGTGTGGTTGTTATTTTTTTGGGAAAATTTTATTTTTACTTCTAGTGGTTTAATGGTGCATTACTTAACCCGTTGTGATTTCAAATTTATCGTTCATATTCACTATGATTAAATAAGTTTATTATTTAACCTCTTGTGATTTTAAACATTCATTTACATCTATTGTGGTTACAAAAATAGACTACTTAGACCCTGATGATCTTATAAATATAATTTTTTTCTAACTTTTATTTTATATAATTATGATTCTATCAAGGGTTTAAAGTTTTTAAAGTTACTTTGGATAATTTTACCTAATGTTTCACTAAAAAAATACACACAAAAACGTGTGAGATCCATATGAACCCATGTGAAGAAAATAGAAAAAAAGAAAATATGGACCCCACACATTTTTATGTGTGTATTTTAGTGAATATTAAATAAAGTTATCTAAAGTAATTTTAGAAATTTTAAACCCTATTATCAAATACACTCTTAATAAAATAAATTATCAATGATTAAATTTAAAAATTATTTAAAGTTATTTATTTTGAA